CATTCCTGCAACCACCCTCCTTCAGAGGGCCCTCCACCCACTCCATACCGATGGTCTCTCTCTCTTAGTTTCCATCGATTCGTCTTCAGACCTGACAGGACCTCTATCTGAGATTTGCTTGACTGTGCCCACGACCTCCTCCATCTGCCCTCCAGGGCTTGGCTGGTGGGGAAATAATAAGCAGGGTTAGAGGCTGAAAAGTGAGCAAAAACAGCATCACAAAAGGAATATAGGAAATTATGGGACAGGGAATGGACTGGCTCAGAAGGTTGCCTGCAACGTTGGAGGGAGACCGGAGGCTAAGGGATTGCAGGGATTGAGGCTGGATGACTGGGTGCAGGGGCCTGGCCAAATCACCCTGCTTACCGGCATCAAAGATGCCACCTTCTGCTGCTGCTGCTGCTGGTCAATCTTGAATAGCTGCACCTTGGCTCTCTTGAGGAGGCTGAACATTTTCTCCTCTACACCAGACAGTGGCAAGGAACCAAGGCCTGCAATCCGGGCCTTTTCCAGTGCTGGTGGCTGCAGTTGTAACTGTGGCTGCAGTGGTGGTAGTGCCTGGGGCAGCAGCTGAGTTTGCAAGGCCTGTAGCTGAGCCTGAGGCTGCTGCCCATTGCTCAGAGGTGGACTCCCAGATGGGGGCACCTCCACCTTAACAGGGGTGGTGACCACAGGGGCAAATCGAGGCAGGCTGAGATGGTTGGTGCGGCCCACTGCCCGTGGCTCAGGCTCAGCTGGAGAGTCATCAACAGGAGGCGGCTCTGGCTCAGGGGCTTCAGGGGCCCCAAGTGGAGCAGTAGTAAGCACCGATTCATAGATCTTCAAGTGGGCTTCACTTGGGGTAAACTGAGGGGCCCGAAGGAGCAGGGGCCTCCGGGTTGGATTGACAGGCGCAGGAGGTGGGGGTGGAGCTGGTGGAGGAGCCGGGGGAGGAGGGGGCAGTTCCCGGGTCAGTGAGGTCCAGCGAAATGTGGGTTCCCTTAGGATGGACCTTCTCTTTTCAGGGAGTGGGGCTGGGATAGACAGGGGAGTTGGGGTACATGGTGGAGAGGGGGCTGGCACTGGCTCCTGGGGGGCGAGCGGGGAGATAGCAACAGGAGGCCGCAGAGGTGAGACTTCCACCTTTGGGGGCTTGGGGGGATCTTCATCCATAAATCGCCGGGGTGTCTTGATGACACGGGAGGACCGGGCACTCACCACAGGCATAATAAACTGCCGGATATTCTTCAGGAAGGTGGTGCTTTTGGGGGCCACAGTGGGGCTGTCTTCCAGAGGGCCTCCTGTGACGGTGCCAGGGGTTGGAGTGGTAGGAGAGGTGCCCTCTGGCCCTGCCCGAGCAGCTTCCCGCTCTGCCCGTTGGCTGGGAGTCAAGGGAGGCCGGCCCCTCTTCCTGGAGCATGTAGCTAGGACCACGGGAGGGGATTCTTCCTGCTCCTCTGGGGCAGGAGGTGGTGGAGGGGATGGTGGGGTTACTGAGGGTGGTGAAGGGCAAAGTGGGGATGGAGGAGATGTTGAGGGAGATGGAAGAGGTGGGGGGACTGGAGGAGTCAGGGGTGGTGAGGGCAGCTTTGCCTCTTCCTTTTCCTCAGCTATCATCATCTCCTCCTCAGTTAAAGCTCTCTCTTCCTTCTTTTCCCCTTCTTCCTTATCTTTCTCCTCCTCCGACTTCTGCTCCTTGCTCCAGCAAGGGCCCTCTCCCTGTCCAGATTCAACTCTTCCTTGGGGAGCATCCTGCCAGCTTTCCTCATGTTGATCCTGACCCTGACCTGATTCAAGTCCCAAGGACAATCGTCCCATCTTCACTCTTTTGGCCTTTGAAACAAACTTGATCACGAGGGGGAGTCCACCTCGGCCTCGGCCCCTGCCTCCACGGCCTCCTCGCCCAGACTGTCCTCCACACTTGGGGGTCCCAGGTCCTGGGCCAGGCCCCTCCTTGCACTTCCAGCTCCCAGTGCGATGTTTTACTGGAACCATAGGAGGTGGGGGCTCAGATTTAGGGATTGTCACAGCTGCTTCTGCCACCATTACTGCTTGTTGCTTCTTCCTGCACGGGCCTGCAGGCCGTCCTGGGGGCCGCCCCCGAGACCGACGGGGGGTGGAGGGCTCACATGCCCGGTTCCGGGGGGCTGGGGGTGCCTGGGCCCGCCGGAGAAGTTCAGTCAGTGCTTGCACCATCCGCTCTGTACCCTCCTCACCCCGTTTCCGGGCAGGAGTCTTTGGGGGGGTAGGAGTCACATCTGCTAGGCGAGGAGGCAGAAGGGGGATCGTCTTATGCTTGTGGCCGCGACCTCGAGGGGCTCGACCTAAAAGGAGAATAGGTGTGGGGAGATGGGTCAAGCTAGCCCTTTGGACTAAGGAAGGTGCTGCAGGAGGTCCAGAACTAGTCTTATTTGTCTGTGTCCCCCACAGCTTAGCCTAGCTTGGGTTTTGAACACAGAGCACATCTGGTAACTGATGGAGACTGTAGTTGAACAGGGAAAAGCTGACACAAAGAGTGAGGAGTAACATTCCTTTAAAACTATAGAAGTACAGTTTCCCCATCACTCACCTCGTTGTGACCGGAGCGCAGAGCGCAGGGAACTGGGGGCCACATCGTCATCTGAATGAAAACCCTGAAATTCCTGATTTAGGGGACCAGGGGTGGAGGGGAAAAACAGCAGTCAGTGCCACAGCCCTTGTTCCACCTGAGACTCAGGTATTGAGGAATATGCCCAGCTAACCCCCCTTAAGGGACCCCTGCCTACTTACAAAAGGACTAAAAAGACTAGAAGGGGAGGGGAGTAGAAAACGGTCTCTTCTCAGGCAGGAAGACACAGGGTATTCTGAACCTCCACCTCCTAGGCCTGACCATCCCAGCACAGAAAACAAAGCAGGGCCTCAGGGGTCAGGCAGCAGGCACTACCCTGACTCCCTAGACTCCAACACAGAAAAAGGGGGGCCTCTGTGCACACCCTCTTGGGCATCAAAGATGCCACCTCCTGCTGCGAAGGTGGGAATAGGGCCACCGAGCTGGTGTCTGTGGCTACCACACGGGTTAGCACCGTGGGATCCCCACACCTTCCTGCCTTTTCTGCGAGGCTGGGGGTACACCGGGAGCTGAACTCAGACCTGCTCGAGTGCCCAGTCCCGGCTTTCGTTCCCTTTCTCAACCTGTGCCCCAGGAGGAAGCCCTCCACCATCCCAGCCTCTCTCCGCTTCAGGTCGGAGGGGAGAGGGGCACTAGTGGAAACCAGGGCTGTGTCAGAGGTGAGCGCTGGGCGGGGCAGCCTGCAGCGGGAGCCCGGAGCCAGC